TGCCCTGCCCTGCCCTGCCCGGACTGCGCTCTCCGAGCGGCTGCACTTCCATCTCCCATCGCTGCCAACCGAGAGTCGGAAATTCAGCAGCGCCGGAGGGCGCCAGCTTGGGGAAAGACGATTCTCCTAGTTGCGGGGGTGAAGTCCGATCTCCCGGAAGGACGTGCTGCCTGGAGAAAGTTGCTAGATCCCCTTCCCCGCCCATTGTCTACAGAGGATCTCTATAGCTCCTCTAGTTGGCGCCGCCGCCGCCGCTCGCCCGCACCCCCCGATGCAACCCGGGCGGGGAGGAAGCGCTTCGCTCTCCCCCGGAATTGGCGCCCGGGCATTTTCCTAGAAAGCCGAGGAAAGAGAGGTGGGGAACGCGGCCCTTTGCATGTTGTGCTCCGGGTGGTCACAGCCGCCAGGCAGATCGGAGGTCGGGGGTCCCTTGCGCCGAGCAAGACAGGCAGCTCCTGTGGGGGAAGGGGCAGCCTTTGGGCCGAGCCCGGTCCTGAGAGGGGCCGGGAATGAATGGTCTACTTCTGTTGTTATCCCCTCGTCCATCCATTTAATGCACACCTCATCCTGCGAGGTAGGGCAGGATAAGGGGCTATAATGTCCCATCCTTCTCACGGCGCTGGTGTTCGGGTGAAAGTGGTTGGTTATGACCCCGTGAACTGCGCTAGAAATGTAGCTGCAGGGTCCTGTTACAGCCGGAGTTCATGCCCTGCCCTGGTGCAGCCTTGCCGGGAGGGTGGTGTGTGTGTGTGGCCAGATCCAGAGAAACGTCTGTGGCACAAAGGTTGCCACTCCCCCCCTTGCCCACGCTCCCCTTGGTGTGTAGGCCATTCCGACTGTCCACATGGGCTAAGCACAGGAGCTGTCTTTCTAGCTTCATATTTTCCCTTCCTTCCTGCTTATTATCGATGAGTGAATTGGGAAAGGGGGTCGGGTATGTCAGCCCTGCGAGGTAGACCAGATGAGGAAACTGAGTCCGCAGGAAGACTGGGCGATACTTTAGGGAGGCCGGCCAAAGGAACAGCCGGGTTGTGCGTCTCCTCCCCTCCTCTCAGGCCCCGGGGAGCCTGGAAGGAGCCTGCCCGCGTCTCCTCCAAACCTCTCGAAGGGGAGGGATGTTCGGCATCTCCCTGGCTCCCTGCCACGTGCGTGTCTCTGATCGGCGCTCGCTGATGGGACTTGCAGGGATGGCTCCCAGAAGGTGCTTGACAGGAGAAACGCCCAATGGATTAGTCCCTTCTCTATTTATCCCGAGAAGACCCAGTTTGGTGCAGTGGTGATAAGGCACCGGGCTAGAAACCGGGAGACGGTGAGTTCTAGTCCTGCCTCCGGCACGAAGCCAGCTGGGTGACCTTGGGCCAGTCACTCCCTCTGGGCCTTAGGAAGGAGGCAAGGGCAAACCACTTCCAAAAAACCTCGCCAAAAAAACTGCAGGGACTAGTCCAGGCTGTCGCCAGGAGTCAAAAAGTAACTCAAAGGCACAAAAAAAGTAAAGATTTATCCTGAAAGAAACCTTAGTTTTGAGCCAGTGGGCAGATTTGGAACTCTAACCCATGTCCTGACTGCTTTCACAAAATGGCTGACAGGAACAGGTAGTTCCCTTTTTACAAAATGGCTGTCATAAGGAGTATGGAGATGGCCTTGAAGGGGGAATTCAGCGGCCACCAGCTTGGCCCAGAAACAGGACGGTGTGAGGAAGAAAGTCAAGATTCTTCGCCTTGATTCTCTTTGGTATAAGAAGGAAGGAAAAAGAAACACTGTTGGGCTTTCAAGGTTCTGTTATCATACCCTTTACAAGAAAAGAGCTGGCCTACCTTGCAGGGCTGACTCACAGGTCACCAAGCCCTCATTTCCCAGAAAATGCCATTTTCTCTGGCCCTCCTCCCTTGAGGCTTTCGACCACTCTGGCTTCTCCTTAATGCTGTTTTCTTTTCTTCATCGACACTTTCCTCCCAGAGATTGGGCCATGCTTTCTTTTCATAAAAGGCTTGTGGGCCCGATTTGAGGTTCAGAGATATTTTCATAAAGAAGATGATGGTAAAGATCAGCTGTTGGTTTAATTTTTAATTTTAAAATGTTGAAAGTGTCAGCAACAGAATAGAAAGGTGGTTATCTGGAGGAAGGGTGACCAGAGGAACTGAGGTTGTTAGGGTCCACCAAGTCAGCCGTGACCCCTGGGGATGCAGGAACGAACTGTGCCATCTTCCTGGCAACATTTTTGGAAGTGGTTTGCCCTGGCCCCCTTCCTTGGGCTGAGAGGGTCACCTGGCTGGCCTTGTGCCTAAGACAGGACTAGCACTCACGGTCTCCGGTTCCTAGCCCAGTGCTGCTAACCACAAAAGATGGGTCTTCTGTACCAGAAATGCCTCCAACGTTCTCCTAAACTGCTATCTTGGAGCAAATGTGGAAGCTTCAGCTTGGGCAGATCCATTTGTGCAGCCTGCTACTCCATTTTTGGAAAAAAGGAACAAGCTGTTTAATTGCTAACAGAGTCGAGAGGCCAAGTCAAAGCTGAAATGATCACTGTTGTGTTTAAAAAGCCTCCTTGGGTATCACGTGAGTTTTTCCATTAAGAGCCACTTCTCCCGCTTCTCAGGCTTTTCCAGATTTGGATGCAGTCATGCCTGCGAATGCACCAGCCCAAATATTATGGGATGCAGTGCTGTTTCCTCCCCTTGCCCTTTTGTTTTAACACTGCAGTAACCATTCCTCTGGGCCACGGTGGCAGTTGCTGTCCCCAAAGTGGGTTTGGTGTTCAAGGGGTTTCTCGTGAAAATATGCCAGAGGGCAGAAGGGGCGGCCTCTGTCATCCTTCGTGTGCAAGGAAAGCACTCTGCAGACAACCATGTGCCTGTTGCCTGTGGAATCTTCATAGCAACAGAGGCAATAATTCCATGCTTTCCATTCATGAGAAGTATTTCAAAAACATTCGATGGAGAGAGAGAGAGATCATTCCTCTTAAATGTATGCCAAATACACGTCTCTCTTTAAGTTTATGTCATAGCTTGGCTGTTTATAGTGCAGAATTTAGTTCTGACAGCAGCTGATGGTTGGGCCTTCCCTTTGGAACACATTTCATTCTCACAGGCTTCGATGAGGACGCAGAAGCCAAGCTGAGAGACCTCCCCAACCCAGCCCTCTAACCCTGAACTATGTATTCTCCACTGTGGCAGTAAAACTGCCACCTGCCAGGCGGTGGCCGCACTTTCAGTTTCTGGTGGTGCCCTCAATGCCCCGGCAGCCAATAGCTCCTTCCTTGATGGCACATCCTCAGCCCCTGATTTATGCCACCACTTCACGTTCCAGAATAAAACAGTTTCTTCAACAATTTCCCATAGCTCTGTGTAACAAAGGATGCCAAGTTGGGCTTGGGTTGGCTACTCATTTCCCTGCATTTGTCAGTTTCATTCTTCTTCCCTGGCAAAGTAAAAGACAGGATCGTCTAGAAGCAACTTAGTTTCAGCCTCCCAACTCTGCAGCCCTAAATACAGGTAACCCCTGGGTTAAGAACGCCCAGTTTAAGGACGACCCATGGTTAATTTGAGTGAAATACACAAGGATTCAAGTTAAACACACAATGATTTGAGTTACACAATACTATTTATACAGTATTATACAGTATTATACAATAATACTGTTCTGGCTTATATACAAATTGGACTTAAAGACAGAACTTGGGAACGGAATTTGTTCTTAAATTGGGAACTATCTGTAGTTGCAGAGTCACGGCAGAGTCTGGCCAGTTTCTGCTCTGGGGGTATCTGATTATACTGATTATACCAAATTAGAATCAGCTTGGTGCTGATAATTCAGATAATTATCTATCTATCTATCTATCTATCTATCTATCTATCTATCTATCTATCTATCTATCTATCTATCTATCTAATTTTCCCACTGCCTAAAACATGTGAAAGGGGATGACAAGGAGAAAACTAAGCTCAGATTTAACCTAAGTCTTTTCAGACACATGATAGGGTGTGGTTAAACATCTTTAATATAGTGAAGCTGCACTGGCAGTTGACTGCTCTTTGCCAACAGGAGAGTACAGGTCCCTCTTGTATCAGGAGCAGTTTAACCCACTGCTCCTGCTTCCCACTTTTCCTGCATTACAGTGGACTCATTGCCATGCGCTTCATGGCCTTGAAGCTGAGCTGCTCTTGGTTGACATCTCTGTCCTGAGAACTGCTGCCTCTCGGCCTCTCTCTTTCTGTCAGTTTTATGACAGTGTTTACTAAGGCGAGGAATTGTGGGCAGTGCTTAAAGTCAGGTATAGGAAGATAGCCACCGCATTGCATGCTGTGGCTAAATAGGGCTGGCTACTTCGTGTGTCGCATCTTCGAGATGTGCTTAAATCAGTGTTGTCCAAACTTGGCCACTTTAAGATGAGTGGACTTCAACTCCCAGAATTCCCCAGCCAGCCATGCTGGCTGGGGA